GCTTTATATATCTAAGTATATTTTATATGCTCATATAAAAATTTAGGAAAACCGTTAGTTTCTAAACAATACCACGATTGGAGCTTAACCAAATTAGCACCACCTTTCCGATAAAAAAAATTATCGAAACGGTTCACGTGGTCCAAAGTTATGTGGTTGCATATTCCAATGGATTGGTAACCTTTCTACTTTTTTTGATGGCGGTTAATAAAAAAATTTCGTCCAAAACTTTAGAAAGTTCTAAACTTTCCGTTTCGTGATCTTCTTTTTACTACTACCGTCGCAAGGATATATTCATACTTGATTTCATTATCTCGTCAGCACATGGGATCAGCGAAAATTCAAATAAGAAGAAAGAGGGCACCACCTTCTGGGAGTCCCTTTTTAATTTCCCTCAACTTCGAAGTTTAGTCTCGAAATATTATTGAAGCTTCCTGTCCATCGCCGGGAAAGATGTCTTCTAGCAGCCTGGAGTGGCATTCAGTGTTAGAAGCCTTCGACAAGTCCTAGGCTAATAGGACGTACTCTCGCTGGGGTTGTTACGGTTAAGGTCACAAATTATCTGGGTGCTTATATCTTGAAGTGCTGTGGTGGTATTAAGTGTTATCGGGTGATAAGGCTCCCTTTGTTGGCGGGTTTCCCCACCTTAAGCAGTGGGACCACTGTCCCTGACTTCCGCAAGTGGTCAGCGACAGACAGAATACCGTGCTGAGATATTCAACTACCGCCGGTCCCAATTCTTTCACTATCAGCATACATATTCCGGTGGGACCAATAGCTTTAGAGGCTTTTGCCTTCCCGTTGGTCACCTTAACCAGTGTTGCCAAACATGGGCTTTTCCTACCAAAACTGGTAGGTTTTTTTCCATTTGGTAGGTTGGTAGGCTCGATTGGATTTTGGTAGGTTTCGGGTCTACGAGTAATAGTTACAAAAATAGAAAATATGTATCTCCAAACATTTTAGCAATTTTTTTAAATGAATATTTCACCGGTGCGTTCGTATAACGGCGGCCGCAAACATGATTCCTCAGTACAAACGTATACCCTTATTATTGCCATTATACAATACGAACATCGATATATACTTTATGGCGTACTTGGACCAAGATTCCAGGAAAGTCTGCCAATGGGCTTGTACCCAACCATATTCTGGGCGGAGGTCTTCGCAATCGAAGTCTGTGTTCACGAATTTTATCGTAGAAGGCAAATGAGGCCAGAATAAATATTATGTCAGATATTCATGCAGCGTTAGAAGCCTTCGAGTCTTTTAAAACGGCATCAACGGCTTGTGAACTCTAGAACCACCTGAGAGCCCACAATAGCATACCGCTGTGGAGGGTTCAGGCACATGAAGGGTTTGAAGGCAACGAAAGGGCTGATTGCCTTGCAAAGAGTGGAGCCTAAATGAGTTTGCATGGTTCCGAGCCTTTCTGCGGTACATCTAAAGGATACACTGCAGACCTAGGAATTTCTGCACTTTTCAGGAGGAACTCCGAAAGATACCTTGAACTTAAAACTCTTACTGGCTACCTGACAGCACACTGCAAGTTAACGTACCGATTGAATTAAATAAAGGGTCTTTCTGTAGAGACTTACTGAAGGTTTTGTGGGCCGGTGAAGGAAATCCCAGAGTATATCCTATGTGTTTACCCACGAAGTATGAATAGTAGATTGATGCACCTTGGAGAAGGATTGTCTTCTCCATCTAAAATTTGGAACATGGCATCATCCAAAGTGCTGAGCTTTTTAAATAGCCTAAGGTTGGAGCGATTAGAATTAGGATTTAGCACAATATATCTTCTTAAGTCGCAACGCGGGTATCTCCGACGAAATAATAATAATATAGTCACTTGACACTCGGGTGTTTTGACGGCGAAAAAGGATGCGTGAAAAAAAAATTGCGAAAAAAGACGCATAAACATGGATTCAACATCATTCTGGAAAAACTCTTTGAGGAATTCGTATACTCGCAAACATAGTTGACCGCAAAAATAAGTTTTCTTCGTCTTTCTTCGCCGTCAAAGAGGTTAACGCGTCTTTCTTTGCCCTCGCCTATGTTAAGAGTCCTTCTTGGCCGAAATTTTTTTACGCGTCTTTTTTCGCTGTCAACTTTTGAGCTCGCGTCTTTATTCATATCTAATGACGATATGTATGTACAGTAAAATGAATCGTTATACGCAGTTAATTTGTTTTTATTGTACTAGCTGTGTTTTAGTTTTACTAAATGATATGTTAGCTGTTTTTAATAAATCTGACATTGAAAAAAAATATTGAAACTCAAAAAAATTTTTGGTAGGTTTTGGTTGATTATGGTAGGAGATTTTGGTAGGAAAAAAAATGTGTCTGTGGCAACGCTGACCTTAACCTCATCGCTAGTGGAAGTCGAAGGCACACTGCTTTTTGACAGTTTTTACAGCCTTACGATAATTTTATCCACCGAAGGTTGCACTCACGCCTCACTGAAATTTCCACCCTTTAATGGCGCCAGTTCGTGTTTAAGCAAAGCTTATTCACACCAGAGGATAAGTTGCAAGTCTTCAAATGCTCCTTTCACTTTTTCCGCTTATACTGATTTAGATAGGTAACTCTTGGGTCGACGCATGATTCAATAATACAAGGTTCGATAAACTGACAGTTGTCTCTCTCGCACCGCTCCCTTAGCAGTGACACCGTGTTGCTTCTTTGCAATTTTACATGGAAACAGTGTAGCTTTGGTGTGAAATAAAAGTATAAGCTTTTGTGCAATATCTTTATTTGTATATGCATATGAAGCATATTTAACTGATGAAAACATATGCATTGGATGTTTACATCAGTCTCATAGTAGTCTTATTTAAATTTTGAGTCATTTTGCAGTTTTTATACGGCTAAATAGCATATAAATTACGTAATTCACGTAGATATATCAATATTACGTTCAACATTTCGTTTAAAATGCCAGATTTCCTGCAAATACAATAGAATTTACGAAAGGAATTTCACTACTAATTGCCTACTTTGCGTACTTTTCTACTACCATTTTCGAAACAAGGGATTGCATTCTGGCCCTTTCTCTGTCCTCCGTAAATGCAACCTTTTGTAAGGGAGTGTCAAACCGCAGCTGTCAATAATTATCTAACCTTGTATTATTGAATCATGGGTCGACGGACCCAACGAACCAAGGCGAATTTATACAAGGTGGTGTTACTGGCGAATTTAGACTTTCGCCGCGGTACTTCTTAGTGTCAAAATGATGTGTTTGTTGTAATCACATCATTTTGACATTAGGAAGTACCGCGGCGAAAATCTTATATAAATTCGCCTTGCAACGAACGTTGGCCAATACTCAACTTTTGACGCACGTAAGTCCGTCACTGCTGACAGTTGTATAACCACGCGTTTACACAAATCAAGACAAATGATAATAAGCATTAATTGTCTCATTGTTTGAGTAAAGTAGGCATCCAGATAATAAACTGTATTCCAAAAGCCAGAGAAAGTGACGAAGACATCAAGAGAATTGTGAATATATTGTATCTGAAAAATTGACTTGTGTAAACCCCAAGTACGAGGTCATAGGGAAGAGCTGATTTTTGTTTGCAGACGCAGCACCTTCATTGTGGCGCATCTCTACGGCACGTACGCCACTTCCTTCGCATACTTTTCCGTTATTGGCGTACAAGTACCCATTCTGACGGGCCTATGAAACACCTTGAAACTGACGGGCTGTAAAATTATTTTAACACGTACTCTTATGTAGATAATTATTTTGGTCGCGACAGAGCAAAACCGCGACTGTGGTTGTGGCCAGATATGTTCTTCCTCTTATTTTATGTCATACTCATATAAATTCGCCATCGACAAACGTTTAGATAATGAAGATAACAAATTAGAAGCACATAGCAATTCTCAACATTTTATTTTTTATTTATTTATACAAATATTATTTCTTTAGTACACAAATCTACATACATATGTATTTACGTACATATAAGTACATATACTAGGTATAAGTTATATTTATCTTTTTTATCTTATAAATTACAAAACAACGATTGCACGATTATAATTTTTTTAATAAGGCCAAGATTGCATTGTCATTGATTGCCTTGAGTTACATCATTTCCTCAAGGATATACTTAAGGTTACTAGTATAATACATATAAATACATTTGCAAACAAATTCAGTTTTGTCTTTTGCTTGTTTCATTCGCGTGGCGCAAATATCAAATCACATAAAAGATAAAACAAATATCACTTATAGTGTTTTCGTTTCCAATAAAAAAACGTCGCCATTTGATTGCCCCTTTCTCTTATCGTGTTCGATTCTAAAATAAAGGCAAACAACGGTGAGCAAATTTTATGTTCGTTTCTTAAAATTTCACACTCTTGTAAGGCAAAAAAAATGCACATTCTCTGCCTTTTGAAGCTTTGTCAGGAGAGATCAGATAGTTACTCAAAATGGCAATATTATGAAATGAGTGAGATTGACAAGGAAAAGGAGGCAAAACAGGCCCTTTTACAGGTTTGAGTTTAACAAAAAACTCATTTTGCACCATCGAAGGGCAACATTTTTTGAAAGAAACGAAATCACCATTAATATACCTACATATGTTCATACATTGTGGTGTATAATAACAAAACGATATGTTTCAATGAAAGCACACCCCGTGGCAAAATTATATGCGCACCACATATTTACAAGTTTTAAGAATTTATTTTGTTGTTATTTAATTATTGTTATTTTTTATAAAAAATATAGTTTATTCTTTAACAAAACCTGTATAAATCCAAGTTTCAAACTCTATGCAATATTAAATAAAAATCAACAAACTTTCGTCATAATTTCAAGTTTTTTAATTCGATTTCAACCAGTCACTTTGAATTGAATTTGTATGGGGTTGAAATTCACTCGGAAGTGAAATTCGGGATCTGCCTGAATATATCATTTTGACACAGGGTGTATGTACGTATTCNTAATTCGATTTCAATTTTTAATTCGATTTCAACCAGTCACTTTGAATTGAATTTGTATGGGGTTGAAATTCACTCGGAAGTGAAATACGGGATCTGCCTGAATATATCATTTTGACACAGGGTGTATGTACGTATTCATATGTCAATATAAGCGCATGTGTCTACAGGAACTTTATATGTGTTTTATTTGTTTAAGCGTCNAGTGGCCCTGAAAATCAGATAGTTACTCAAAATGGCAATATTATGAAATGAGTGAGATTGACAAGGAAAAGGAGGCAAAACAGGCCCTTTTACAGGTTTGAGTTTAACAAAAAACTCATTTTGCACCATCGAAGGGCAACATTTTTTGAAAGAAACGAAATCACCATTAATATACCTACATATGTTCATACATTGTGGTGTATAATAACAAAACGATATGTTTCAATGAAAGCACACCCCGTGGCAAAATTATATGCGCACCACATATTTACAAGTTTTAAGAATTTATTTTGTTGTTATTTAATTATTGTTATTTTTTATAAAAAATATAGTTTATTCTTTAACAAAACCTGTATAAATCCAAGTTTCAAACTCTATGCAATATTAAATAAAAATCAACAAACTTTCGTCATAATTTCTAATTCGATTTCAATTTTTAATTCGATTTCAACCAGTCACTTTGAATTGAATTTGTATGGGGTTGAAATTCACTCGGAAGTGAAATACGGGATCTGCCTGAATATATCATTTTGACACAGGGTGTATGTACGTATTCATATGTCAATATAAGCGCATGTGTCTACAGGAACTTTATATGTGTTTTATTTGTTTAAGCGTCGTTTGGCTAATAGTTGATAAATACCAATCGCTGCTGAGAGTGTGCCAATGGCACCCACTTGGAATGTGGATAATTTGCCTCCCCAAAGATAGCCTTTTGGTAGAGTGCTGACGGCATGGGTGAAATCAAGTGACAGTCGAAGTACGGAGAGTAGTTCTAGGCGATGTTTTTTGAGTAATTTTTCATTTACATGGGTTCTGGAAAAAATAAGATTTTTTACAATTAATATTTAAATAAAAAACAACCGCCTTCAATGCTCATACAAAAATTTAGGAATACCGTTAGCTTTCATTAATCGGAACTAAACCAAATTAGTTTGTCAAGTGAGTGATCGAGGATGCGAAGGCGTTGAAAGGACCGGTGGGTGGTGCGAGCGCACCGCAATTAGCTGGAACTCCCTTTAGAAAAGAGGCCCAGGACGACANACGAGGATGCGAAGGCGTTGAAAGGACCGGTGGGTGGTGCGAACGCACCGCAATTAGCTGGAACTCCCTTTAGAAAAGAGGCCCAGGACGACAGCTGCACTAAAAATGTTCAGCGAAATCGCTGGACTGGAGCTGGTCTGGATGTCGTGGACAAAATCACCAAAAACGCACCAAGAAGCAAACTCAACAATTTTCGAGTTTTTAATACGCACTTAATTTTGTGCGAAAAGGGCCAAGTTGGCAGCAGTGAATGTAGAGAAAAGTGTTGTGTGACGAAGAAAAGGTTAGCAGTGCGCGAAGCTTGGGGTCAAAGCTGAACTTGTTAACGGCAGTTTACATACAACTTTTGTTTCACTTTGCTTCAGAGTTCCGCTTTGACAAAGAGGTTCAATACATGATTTTATAGGAGTGTTCTTAAATAGAAGCAAGCGAGGAACGCAAAACTCAGCAAACTCTCAACTTTTGCGCGCTCTAACAATCAGCTGTTTACATGTATCTTTTCTCGCGCACTCGCATTCGCATTTAACACACAAAAATAAGGTAAATATGAATTATTATTGTTAGCATTAATGCATATTATTATAATGTTATCTATCTTAAACAGATAAATTATGGAGAGAAAAGATAACGCAGCAGCTGTCAAAGCTTTTATTGTAGCACACCTTCTACGCTTCATGCTTTATTGTTAAAGTTCGAACTTGCAAGCAAGGCGAGGAAAGTCGTATGTGAACAGACCTTTATGCGAAATCGGAACTTCTCTAGAGCGTGGTCGTATACGACCTACAAGAGGACTGCGCGAATAGATATAGCCTTTGTTTCAAAGTTATTTTCTGACTCTATTAAACCATACCTAAGCCCAATATGTTTTTTGAAATCCTCGTCTGGTGGAATCCCCGCAGTGAAGTTAAATTTCACAACAGACCCCTTTTGTCGCATATGTATAGAGGACGACGAAATGGAATCGTCTCAATGCTTCCTCTTAGACAGCCCAGCTTTTGTTAAATTGCGGCTTAGGCACCTGGGTTCATACTTTCTAACAGATCTGGGGCGCTCACGGCCTAAGTGAGCCCCTTGATCTAACCTTACCTTGTTATGTCATTACAATACTCAATCGAAAGGAAAATGATTTATCTCCTCTATCAATTGAATCAATCATTCAATTATGTATATGAAAAAAGTAATTAACTGACGACATTTGCCACCAAATTTATTTTTGAAACAGAAAAAAACTTAAAGGCAAACTCTAAAAAAATTAAAAGCATTTAAAGGAAACTCGGCACCATGTAAAGTTTTATAGATTCATTTGTAAAAGATGGCGCAATGATAATAATAATATGTAAGTATTAAAAAAGTAAACAAGTTTTTCTTAGATAAATTTCTAAGCTAAAAAGTTGTTTCCCAAATTATTTTCAACTTAAATATCGGTAAAGTTTGTAATGTCATTACATGGGTATTGATATACTGTGTTAAACTGCCGATGCATGTGATCAAATTATAAATTCCATACAAATTTATAATTTTATCATATTAGATTAATACCCCTAATATAAAAACTGAAATTATTTTTTAATCATATTTACACGCTTTACTCACTTAGCCACATTCGCCTCATTCACCTTTTGTTGGTTTAATGAGTAATTTCGCAACGTTCTGAAAGTGAAGGCAAAAAAAATCTTAAATGCGGCAATTAAAATCAAATTAGTCACCTCAAAATACATACCTCATTAAATTCAAGTAAATGGAAAGAACCCAAAAAGACGAATTCAGCACGTCCCAAGCATCTGCGTTTTTAACATCTATGATATTGTGCTCAGACAGCCAGCAAATCTTCTCAATCGGATAATACAGCAAATCCACTATATTTGCTGTTACCCCCAGCACTGCCATTAGCCGATCTGGTTCCTGTGCGCCCAAGCCATATTCTAAGGCATATTGTATCATTGGGATATCATCGATGAGGCGGAGGGTGGCGCGCGCTCCCGAAATACGTGAACTAGTAATAGCATAACGTTTTGCTAACTCGGGATTGCGGCTGGCATGGTAACCGGCTACCAGCTTGGCACTGTAGCACAATGCCTTCATCACCTGAATAAGAGTGCAAATAGTGATTTAATTACGAGCACTGATAAGGAAAGCGTGTACATAAAGCATGAATGAATATTGGTTTTACTATATGTAAATATATACATATGTATTATGTATGCATGTACATTAGGGAGGGCCAATTCGTATTGGAATTATTTTCGAATATGCGCGTGTAGCACAGATTCTACGTGTGATTCTAAGCAAATTTGCCCAAGACACCATGTCGTAAAGAAGTGCTTAAACGTTGTATAAAAACATGCTACAAGCGGTTTTTGGTACGAGGAATCCATTTATCTTTTTCTTAAAACTTCCACCAGAGGGCGCAGCAGTGAAAATTTTCACATTTTCTTCGAAACCTAAGTTAGCAATTTTCCAAACTCGAAATTGATTTTAGACCCATGGTGTCTTCGGCAAATTTTCTCAGAACCAATGATATACGCGCATAATAAAAAAAAAATTGACCCGCCCTAATATGCATACATAAATATCTGTATACTTATTTATTTCCGTTTAATTAACACTTTGCCACTATTAATTCCTGTGTTGTGTTTGAAAATATGTATGTACGTACATATCGTCACCGCCGCGGTAAAAGCTGCTAATTCCACTTAATAAAATTTTACAGTAGAGCGAAAAAGCATCATAAAGTAATAACTAGGCACCACCTTCAAAATTTTAAATGACCCTTTTGTTGCCCTTTGTATACTTTATTTATTGACCTTCAAAAAAAAATTAATTTTTTCGCTAAAGTTTTACACGCAAATTCACGAGAAATGAAGAAGACTTTAACTGCTTTATAAATCGAAAATTTTTAGGAAACTGTCACTTTACAAAGCTCTTCTAGTTCAGAACTTTTATTCCATGTCGCTGTTGTTACGTTTCTCTCTCTGGGAGAGCAACTGAGAATGTTCTGAACGCTTTTGAGTTGTTAACTCAACTTCAACTTTAGTTGAGAACTAGAATGATGAATTCGCCTTTAAAGCTTTTATATTTTTTTATGAATAAGGCCATTAGGTTATAAACCAAGGGCCAGACATTGAAAATAACCCTCTCTGCTTATTTTTTATTGTGTTTCTCACTGACAAAAACAAAAATCTCTCAAGCAAAATGTGTTTCTCACCGTGCCAAATCTCTCTGTACGATCTTTTTGTGTTTTCTGCTGTGGGTTATTTATCAACTGCTTAAATTTCCCTTCCGCAAAGACACTTTGGCAGAGACTTTTATCTTTAATTGTCTTTGTTTTGGGGTTATTGAAAGACAGAAAAATATAAGTAGTCGTACGTAAGTGGAAGAAAAGCGTTAGGCATATCTTTACACGACATATACATACATACACATCTGCAAGCATAAGCTATTTTATTATATTAAGCATTTTTTCATACATATATACCAGTATAAGCAGAATTAAATATTGGTATAGGTGCTATTAGATTTAAGTATATTTTGAGTTAGTTTGAGCCAAAAAAAAACAGCAAATTTGATATTTTTCTACGCACTTTAACGGTACGCTCTACGCTACGCCGCGGTATAACATCTATTTCTTCTCTCCCAGGGATAAGTATCCGACACCTCCAGCAACGCCAATTATATGCGAATAACCCTTTCCACTGAGCAAGAGCATACATCTACAAAAAAATAAATCACCTGTTCTCTGTTGTGGGTTATTTTTTTTCTCTTAAATAGCAAGAGTTATTTTGAGACACATTCAAAGTGGAGAGGGTTATTTTCGATCTCTGCCAGGGACGGGAATCATTATGATTAAAATAAAATTAGCATTAGATTAAATTAGCATTTAATCATTATTTTATGATTTCTGTTTTTCGCTTAAAAGTAATAATGATTATTGAGTCTAATTTTTTTGCTCAACGGCAATAATTATTAGCTTTGAGCGAAAAAATCAAAATCATAAAATAATAATTTTATCAAAAAATAAATATCAGGTAATCACAATTTCCATTGAACGAAAAAATAAAACTCAAATATTAATTATTATCTTTAATCTTTATTTGTTTAACACGAAAAATAAAAATCATTGTAAATTACAGTAGAACGTATGAACACAAATACATACTTGAATATACATTCATCTCTGTTATAAACGGAAAAAGGGAGTTAGGAGCATTTATTTTGTATAAAAATTTGGCAATTTTATAATAAATCAACTTCTGCTGTAAAAAATTGGATAGGTTCAGAGGCGCAGCAGTTGAGCGCAACCGTTGCTAAAAAAATCAGTGATCGTAACACGTCTTCTGAACACGCAACATGTTGTCTCAAATGATCAGAAAAATATTTTGTGGAAATGAACTTAATGATTATCTTTTCACATAATGACACGATCATTTTTTAATTCCATACTTTGTCATTTGTCATTTTTGCTATTAAATACCTAGTGGAAACCCAACATAAGGAAGTCACTATTCAAATTTCTTCCGAAGTAAAGCAATCTCAGATAGTAAACTTTTATAGTAGTCTCACGTCGAATAAAAGACCTCCAAAGCCTTAACAGCGTTCTATTTATAATGGCATTCTAGAAATCGCCACGCTAAATTTCTATGGATAAAAATCTCTAAATAAATAACATATGGGCCTTAAAATATGCAACGCGAAGGCGGAAGTGGTTCAATATAAAATCATAAGCAAAATGCTAAGTTACGTTTCCCTGGAGTCAAGCCTAGGCCAAAGCCAAATCGCAAAAATATAGAAAAAAGGTTTTATCTTAACAGCGGTCGTCCCACGGCAGACAATGGCAAACCTCCGGGTGTATTTCTGCCATTAAAAACAGCTTCTTATAAAAAATACAATCGCCGTTCGGAGTCGGCGTAAAACTGTAGGTCCCTCCCCTTAATGTGACAATATCAAGGCGCACGCCACAAATCGGAGGAGTAGGTTTATTCCTTATCTTTTTGGACTAAAATCTGAAAAGTGCCAAAATTCCAGAGCATAATCAAAATGCTCTCACTAAAAGAGAATAACAGGAAAAAGTAAAGGAACGCATAAAACCAAATTTTTGGTCCAAAGAATGGTAACAACAAAACTAACGTCAAATAAAATTAGAAATGTATGTACAAAACACATTCACACAAGTACAAGCACAATAAACACTTACTATATCACCTTTTTGGTTGTTGTTGTTTCCGACAGGGGGGGTGTATGATGTATTATGGAACGAATTTCCGTCATCTCTTGTCAAATTTGTCTGTCTCCAAACCAAATTTGACAAGGGATGACGGAAATTCGTTCCATAATACAACTTACTATATCAATTATTTTTTGCCTCCTTCCAATTTCAATTCACTTCTTTTTACATTTTAGATTATTCTCACTTTTTGTGTATTCTTTAATTTCCGTTAATTTAAATTTCGTTGCGTTTGACACTTTTCAAGATTTTGCCAGCAAAAATACTTCTGACTAAATCTGAATACTTCGGACTGAAGAGAGTCACTCTCACTGAGTGTTGTTCTCTCATTTTTGCTGTCATTTTCGAGTTAAGGAACGCTTTTTGGACTAAATCTGACTACTTCGAACTTTTTCTGACTATTTCTGGGAGATAAGGAACGCAATTAGTAAATGAAGTCAAACTCAATGCTTGCTCGCCACCAAAACAAACGCTAGCTCTGAACCAATACTTTTCGTGCAAAATCCTGTAAAAATGTCAAACAGCAAAATTACTCTCGGAAGTGAGAGTAAAAAGTGAGTGACAACAAAAAGTACGGGAACAAAAAGAAAAACATTTTTCCTGTAAAAACGTCAACCAGTGATCACTTGACACTTTTCATGATTTTACCAAAAGAAAAAGTTCGCATAAAATCTTGCAACTTCATTCTCTACACAACTCTACAAAATCGCTCTCATTTACAGGATTTTGGAAGGAGGCCAACTCCCATCTTTTTGCGCGGTTTGACAATCAGCCGGTTTGATATTTATTTTGTTTCGCCCAAATTCGAGTTTTCACGTAGATATATAAAACTTAATTGCATTGCTGATATTTTCAAAGCAAAATATATAAAATCCACTGCAATTTCGACGAGTAAAAAAGTAGTACAAAATTGTTTTCTTGGCGTTCATTGTGGCACACCCTTTACGCTTGGCGCTTTGCTGGCAAAGTTATAAATGTCACGCGAAGCTACAAAGTTTTATCTGGCATCAGCTTTATGGTATTAAAAATTTATGGACTAAGGCGGCCAAGCACCCAAAATAGGCAATTATCTACAAACAGTAAATTGAATAAACAAAGTGCGATGCACGCGATTAAAATTTTTTATTGTTCAAACACTTCATCGCCTACTACATACATACATACATATAAAAGAGTTGATTTAGCATAGTTTTTAAACTACATATTTCTTTCTTGGGTTAAATACATGGTGAAATTATAAAAGAGCGAGAAGAAAGATTTGACACTATCTTATTTGAAAACTTGCGTTTCATACGCCGATAAAATACATACACTGAAGATTACAAATTTCTAGTCAAATAAGCTGATAATAAAGATGTTATGTATGTATGTACAAACCAAATCGTTTTCATATTCGCAACTTTAAGGCGACCCTAAAAACATATTATGCCAATGGAAATGCGTAAAACTCTGTGAACATTAGGCATGGTACATACTAAAAGATGTACATTAGGGCGGCCCAATTTGTATGGCAGATTTCTTCGACTGTAAGCGTATATCGTGTAATTCTAAGCAAATTTGCCGAAGAAACCATGGGTCCAAAATCAATTTGCAGTTTGGTCAATTGCGAAAAAAAGATTTCCAAGCATTTCGGCGTAGTGTCCTAAAGAAGTGCTTAAGTTTTGTATGAAAACATGCTACAGGTTAGAGGTTTTGGTATGCATTCAAATCCATTTCCAGCACTTATCTTTTTCTTAAAACTTCCACCAGAGGGCTCAACGGCGAAATTCTCACATTTTCCTCGAAACCCATTTTCATAATTTGGCAAACTCCAAATTGATTTTAGGACCATAGTTTCTTCGGCAAATTTGCTTACACGTGGAAT